TTTCTATAGTTTTAAAAGCTTTGTGTACATTTGGAATATTAGCCCTCTGTCTGTGATATAAGTTTCAAGTATCTCTTTTCAGTTTGACTTTTGTTTCTTTACATTCTTATGTTGTATTTTACTATAAAAAGATTTTAAACTTTGCCCAATTAAATGTATTAATATTTTCCATTATTGTTTCTGGATCTTGAATCATAGTTAGAAATGTTTAATCCATTCCCAAATTAGAAGGAATTTACCCATTTTCTCCTAGTGTTTGTATCGTTTCTTTTCTTATTTTTCATTTAAATCTCTGATCTATGTGGAGTTTATCTTGATGAGAGATAAGAGATTCATTTATATATTTTTCCATATGACTGTTCAATTAGCACAACATCGTATTAAAAAGCCCTTCAGTCCATCTCTTCTTACTGGTTATTCTTAGTAAAATGCAAACTATTGACCGGGCACAGTAGCTCATGTCTGTAATCCCAGTATTTTGGGAGCCTGAAGCAGAAGGATCACTTGAGGACAGGAGCTCAGACCAGTCTGAGCAACAAAGCAAGACTCCATCTCTACAAAAAAATAGAAAAATTAGCCGGGCATAGTGGTGCATGCCTGTAGTCCCAGCTACTTGGGAGATGGGGACAGCAGGATTGCTTGAGCCCAGGAGTTCAAGGCCACAGTGAGCAGTGATCATGCCACTGCACTTTAGCCTGGGTGACAGAGTGAAATACTGTTTCAAAAGAAAAAAAGACAGAAGAAGTGAATGATTTCTGTATGTTACTTTTAGGTCCTGATATCTTATTAAGTTTTTTTATTGTTTATAGACATAAGTAGAAAATCTGAGTCCATGGGTTGGAGACCAACCTGGGCAACTTGGTGAGCTCTTGTCTCTATAGTAAATAAAAAATTAGCTGGGCATGGTGGCACACACGTAAAGTTCCAGCTACTTGGAAGGCTGAGGCGGAGTCAACGCTGAGCAAGTCGAGGCTGTGGTGGCCGTGAGCATGCCACTGCACTCCAGCCTGGGCAACAGAGTGAGACTCCAACTCAACAAAAAAAAGAAAGTAACTTCTTTTGATCAAACAGTATATACCAAAAACTCAAAGTAGACATTATACTTAGTGGATAAAACTTGGAAGCATTTCTTTTTCTTTCTTCCTTCCTTCCTTTCTTTTTGTGGAAGGAAAGTGATTTTATTTCAAAAGTCAGATGAGGAAATGACCAGGCTCTTGCCTCAAAAAAACCATTTCCCAGAAGCATTTTTTTGTAAAATAAATTTTATTTTAAAGATATGGGGTACAATTCAGGACTAGATTATAAGTGGACATCATGCAGGTAAAGTTTGGGCCTTCCTTTGGTCCCCACTTTGCCTGGTTTGAGACCAGGTACCCTTATTGATGTTGTGTGTCCCTCCTCCCGCCACCCCAGCAGTATCCTGCTACCGCCAATCCCTTTCTTATAGTATTAGGGTAAATGTTCAGGGTCCACTTATGAGTGAGAACATGTGGTACTCAGTTGTTTCTGTGATAGATCGCTGAGTATGATAGACTCTAAATTCATCCAGGTTGCTCTGAAGTCCATTGTTTGTCCTTTATGGGTGTGTAATGTTCCATCAGGTATATGTACCACATTATTTTTATCCAGTCCACTTTTGATGGACAGCACGGTTGGTTTCATGTTCTTGCTATTGTGAATAGTGCTGCAATAAACATGCGTGTGCAGGTATCTTTTTTGTAGAATGATTTGAGTTCCTCCGGGTATATTCCCAACAGGGGGATTGCTGGGTCATATGAAGGTCAATTTCTAGTTCTTTCAGAAATCATCACACTGTTTTCTAAAGAGATTGCACTAGTTCACATTCCCACCAGCAGTGTAGAAGTGTTCTAGAGATACTATTTGGTCTTGTAAACAATAAGAAAAAGAAAGATACCTCAGTAGAGATTTGGGCATAAGATATAAACAGGCTATTTAAAAATAAAGAAAGGTAAATGCCTATGAAGAAATGAGCCTATTTTCTATTAGTAGTAAGAAAAATGATAAACGAAACAAACTATCATGTTATAGCTACTAGACTGGGAAAATTTAGAAAGTAGAATAATGCTAAGTTGTTGGTTGTCTTTTTTTTTTTGAGTTGGAGTCTCACTCTGTTGCCCAGACTGGAGTGCAGTGGCCGTTCCCGGCCACCGCAGCCTCAACCTGCTGGGCTCCGGCAATCCTTCCGCCTCAGCCTTCCAAGCAGCTGGAACTACAGGCGCACGCTACCACGCCCAGCTAATTTTTTGATTTATTGTAGAGATGAGGTCTCACCAAGTTGCCCAGGCGGGTCTCGAACCCGCGGGCTCAGGCAATTCACTCACCTCAGCCTACCAAAGGCGCCGGATTACAGGCTGAGCCACCGAGCCCGGCTTTTTTTTTTTTTTGAGTTGAAGTCTCACCTTGTTGCTCAGGCTGGAGTGCAATAGCACGCTCCTGACCACTGCAGCCTCAACCTAGTGAGCTCTGCCACCTCAGTCTTCCAAGTAGCTGGAACAACAGGCAGATGCCACCACATCCTAATTTCTAAAAAATTTTATTCGTTGTAGGGACAAAGTCTTGCTATGTTGCACAGACTGGTCTTGAACCTCTGGCCTCACGCAATCCTCTTACCTCAGCCTCCCAAAAGTGCTGGGATTACAGGCTTGAGTCACCATGCTTGGCAATGCTAAGTATTAATGTGACCATAGAGACCCTCATACATTGCTGGTGGGAGTGTAGATGGGTACACTACTCAGGGGAGTCATTTAGTCAAATTAAATACTATGTATGCATATATTGTGACCTAGAAATTCTGGTACTGCATGTGTATGCAAAAGAAATTCTCACTAGGGTCCTATAGGGACAAATAAAAGGTTGTCCATTGCTATAGAGTTGGATGGATAAATCATGGTGGAGACACATCTGGTAGAGTGTGTGACAATTACAAGCAATGGACTAGATATACACTGTTCAGTGGATGGAACCACAGGGCTGAGTAATATGCTCAGTATGTGTATATTTCACCTTTTTCTTTTTATATTTTATATTGCTGTGTTGCCCAGGTTGGAGTGTGCAGTGGCTATTCAGAGGCCCGCTCATAGCTCACTGCAACCTGGAGCTCCTAGGCACAAGCGACCCTCCCAGTTTAGCCTCCCTAGTAGCTGGAACTACAAGTGAGCACTGCGCTTGGCTTGCTTGCTTGCTTGCTTCCTTCCTTCCTTTATATACTGCCAAAGTGAGCATTTTTTAATTTTAATTTTTTATTTAGATGGTGTCTCATTACATTGCCCAGGCAGGTCTTGAACTCCTGGTCTGAGCTGATCCTTTTGCCTCGGCCTCCTGAGCAGCAGGGACTACAGCCTCTGATCACTGCGCCTGACTGTGTCTATTTTAAAACAAACAAAATCTCTGTGAATGTCTGAACATATTTATAAACAATTGGATGAGGAAGGAGAATGGATAATTTAGGGGGATGGGTGCAAACGTTAGGAAAAGACAACATAATAATACACAAAACCAAACAATTATTTCTGAATGGTGGCATTATGAGTGATAGTAAAGCTCTTTTTCAGTTTCCTCAATTAACCTATATTACATTCATTAGAAAAAATAAGCTCACATAAAATAATTAGACTCAGAACCTTCTGAAGGGTTAATAACTACCTTCATTTTCTTCTATGATTATTGCTTATTTTGTTTTCTACTTCTAGATACAATACTGGTCGTTTTCCCCTAGAAAATAACTTATTTCATGTAGATTTTCAAAAAGGTAAAGTCATATGTAGTATTTGAATAATCATAATAACTTCTATAATTAATTCTTCTTCTTAGTGTTATGTCTTCTCTCTCAACTGAAGTTTTCTCCCAAGATATTTTGAATAACTTAATAGTTGTTCACTGGCCCAATGTATATAGTCTCCAGAAATCATCCAAAAATAACAGTTTCATATAAAATATTTTTACTTTCTACCACAATAAGATTCATATATTTTCCCTATGTGTCTGAAAATTCTAGCTGGATTATCCGGGGCATTGATGTGAGGATTAAATGAGTTAATACAGGCATTTAATACAGTGCCTGCCACATTGTAAATGCTCAAGGTACTGCTATAATGGATGAAAACTGCTAATAATAATGATGTTAGCTGCAAACTCCTTTTCTGTCTCCCATAACACCTAGCACAGGCCTAAGCACACAATATAATATTTAGACAGATGCTCAGTGACTGATGGATGGCTCCAACATTTGGAATTTCCTTTTATACTTGAAATATCATAGGTTATTTTACGTCTTTTCTAAAATGTTCTAGGTATTAATTGATGTTTTTAAAAATCAGCAGTTGATTTAACTCAACCAACTCAACTTTATATTGTTAATTTTATTGATTCCTGCCTCTGTCTTTATGTTCAGGCTTTCTTGTTTTCTGATCAATGCCTTCAAGGCAATAACTCTTCCTCAGAGTATTGCTTTGACTGCATCACACAAGTTAAGGAACCCAGTGTACTCACAGTGACCCTGTCCATAATTAAAGGCAGTGATGTATATAAGGCGCTTAGCATAGTCAGTGCTCAGTGCTAGTGAGCTCCACTTGAACCTTATCCTGTACTGAGTCAGCAAGCATTTGCTTGGCATCCGCAGGAAACCAGGTAAGCATTTCTGCAGCAAAGCCACTTTCGGGCCTAACCCCTTTTCTTTAGCCTTCGTAACTCCTCGCCCTCCAGTGGGCGGGGCCTGGTCTTCTCGCCCCCTTACCCGCAAGTCTCCGCCCCCGCCCCGCCACGTTCCCCGGACACCACGCTGGCGCTAACCTTCTCGGTAATCCTGGTATCCTTCCGCTTTCTAAAAGCGACGACAAGACGAAAAATAGTTCCCGGGCAATGGAGTTCTTTTCACGAAGGGGCGGGACTAAGGCGGGGCTTACGCGCAGAGAAAACCGGAAGTCCGTGATCCTTGTGGCAGCATTGGTCCCCGCGCTCCTGGAGGGCGGACCCAGATGGGCGGAGGGATTCATTTTAAGCAGCGTGCGGCCCTCTGCCTCTCTTTAAGGCGGGGAGAGCGGTGTGGGCGGCAGTTGCTGTGGTTTCCGACCTGGGGTGGTGTTCCTGGAGCTGGAGATTGAGGGCTCAGCGCTATCGCGTCCAAGTCCAGCTCCCCGTGACTGCGGATCGGGAGGTCAGAAGCTCAGCTACCCGTCTGTGGACCAGGACCGGCCGGCTGCTTTGCCTTCGCCTCACAGTGCTCGTGTCTACTCCGGGGCCTAAATCGGCTCCGGGGCGGCCGAGGAGAAGGCCGCCGGCGAGATGTTCAAAAACACATTCCAGAGCGGCTTCCTCTCCATCCTCTACAGCATCGGCAGCAAGCCCCTGCAGATCTGGGACAAAAAGGTCGGGCTGGGGGTGGGGGAGGGTCGGGCGCAGGGGCCGCGTCCCCTCCTCGCCCGGTTGTGTCGAGTTGGGGCCCGGGAGAGGCTGGAGGTCGCTGCTGTGCCTTGTCCCCAGCCTGGCGGGACGAGACGTAGGGGGCGGGGGTGCATTGGGGTGGGCGTGGCTGGGGTGTGGTTGGGCGCGCGGTCCCTCCCCGCGGACTTGCCTTGGTCGGTCCATTTGAGCCGCCGTTTCCCCATCATTATAATGGGGTGATAGTGCCCATCTGGTAGCATGAAACGCCATGAGGGGGCTTTGCGGACGTAGAGGTGAAAGGAACTGCTGACCACGGATTCCACGAATGTTTACCCTTCCCCTGTTTGGTGCCAGGCACTGTGCTGGGCACTAGACACAGAGCCTTTGTTCAGGTCCCTTGGAGATGCACATCCAGAAAGACTCCACCAAGCCAGTGATGTTTGGGTGTCATTCATTGACTCCCTTTCTCCCACTGGTCCCAAATAAGCCAGAATCCGGTGGCTTTTGGCACCTGCTCCACACTTGCTGTGATTCGGGGTCTGTACTCCACCTTCAGTGCCTGATTTCCCCGTCAGGAATAGCCTTGTCTGGATTAATAAACCCAGAGCCAGGCGCAAGCCTCTTTGTCGCTATTAAGGCATCTACTAGATGATACTTTCGCTGACCCCAGGAGATGATGGACCAGCCTGCTTTTTGGAAATGTGACTTAATATCTAGCTATGAGTTGGTCCTCATGTTATTACTTGGGTACTTTGCTCCTCCTGCAGATAGATTTCCAGGCGGTCCATGAACCATTTTTGGAATATAAATTAAGGCCGGCACTCCAGCGTGGAAGACAGGTGATTTAGGAAGTATCCTTAGTACTGCCCTCCTCGGGAGAGTGGAGAGAGATGATGTGCTGAATGGTGTTTGTATTGTGGAATAGTCTAAGCAGACCTAATAATGAAGCAAGATTTGTGGTTTTGGTCTTAGAGCAACTCCCTGTCTTCCTTGCCACAAAGGGTGACACAGAACTTGAGAGAGAACATAGGCAGTCTTCTGCCTGTCGCCACTTAGGAAGGGCTGCATTCAGAGGGCAACTTTGAGAGTGGTGTCTTCATGGTGTCACTTTGATGAGATAGTTGAAAGATTTGAATATAATGAAGTTGGACCCTCTCATCTGTAAAAAAAAACAAAAACTGACTATCTCTTTTCCTTCAGATGCTTCTATCTGCAACGTAGAGCTAATGCCAAGAGTATTACATAGGAAAGCGATTCCTTAACATTTTTTCTACATGATTGAGTTTTTCAGTTCCATGATTTTGTTCACAATGGAATAAAAAGGCATTGTAAACTCTGAAATTGCACCTCTACAAAGAGAACCCAGAATGCATGTATCTGGGAACTTTATAAGGATATTGGCTTCCAAACTGTCACTTGATTCAGATATGCGTTGTCAGAAGGCAGAGAGAGAGACCCTGTGTGTGTGGAACTTGGAAACCGAATTGTAGCAAAAGTGTCAACATAAGGCAATTGAAATAGAGAATGGGCCTTGACCTAGGAGGAGAGGTTTTCAGAGCAGGTCAGAAAACGTACTAACTCTGAAAGAATTCTAGTGGAAGGAGCCCTCAGGATTGTTTTTGTTTTGTTTTGTTTTGTTTTTTTTGAGGCAAGGTCTTACTCTCGCCCAGGCTGGAGTACAGTGGTGAGATCGTGGTTCACCACAACCTTCTAGGGTCTGGTGATCCTTCTGCCTCTGATTCCCAAGTATTTGGGACTACAGGCACTTGCCACCATGCTCGGCTACGTTTTGTGATTTTTTTTTTTTAAAGACCAAGTCTTGCTATGTTGCCCAGGCTGATCTTGAACTCCTGAACTCAAGCAGTCCTCCCCACCTTGGCCTCCCAAAGTGCTAGGATTACTGGTGTGAGCCATTGTGCCCAGCCAGAATTTCTATTGTGAAACTTTTAATCAATTTTTCATTTTAGTCTTCTGTAGTGTTTGTTTATTTTCAAATGCAGCTTTTTAGCTAGTCGTGCTTCCTGAGTCAACTTGTTTACACACAGAATGAAAAAGAAAGTAACCATGATGCACTGTATCCCTTAACGCCACTAGAGGTCAGATGGTACCCTAATGACATAAACATGTGTGAAAACATTGTTAAATTCACTGGTAGGGTTACATGGAGTAAATTAAACAGAAATTTTGGCAAAGAAAACCTTTAGAACACTTGCTTCAGGCAAAATCCTCACAATAGTAAAAGTTAATTATGTGTTTCTAACACTTACTTGGACTAGACTGGAAAGTGTTTAGGAGTGAGTTTTTTCTCCTCTTGGGCAAGGGAAAAAAGGGAAGAAAAGGGAACGTCTAGGGCCATATCCATTGACTTTGTTGTATGTGCTTTTTTCTCAGCTGTATCATAAAGCCCTCAGGAAGTGTTGGGAATCTGGTCCAGCTGGGGAATCTGGGAATTGATATACTTAATGAAAGATTTACTGAGCAACAGCTAAGGGACAGGCCATTGCGTAGATTTGGGAAGGTAGAGAGGACTTTTTTCCTGCTCCCAGGAATAAGGCAAACTTTAATAAGGGCAAAGTTTGGGGGGTAGGGGAAGGTCCACATTTGTCTAGACATGGCCTTGACCTCTGTCAGTAGGTACATGTTAACTGTGGTGCCTATTTTAGTTATTAATTTGATTTTTACAAAATTTTACTATTCTACTTCCTGAGTTTATAAAGAGAGAATTTCTGTTTTGGTTTCTCTGAAGAATCTTGAAAACTTAGGTTTGATTTCTGTTTAGGCACTGTCTCCTTGTGAATGTGAGAAGTGAATGCCATAGTCACAATACCAGTGAATTTGCAGACTTCACTTGTGTGGATGTGGCTTGCTCATAATGTTTGTGATACCTGCAGTTAATTTCACACTCTTTAAAGCTCACAGCCCCTTCCCCCATCTTATCCTTTAAACCTCAACGTAAAAATTATTTGTCATTGGGAACTTAAATCTCGTGGGTGCTCCTGTGGCTCTCTGTGCACAGTATGCCAGTTTTCTATTGTGTATCACCCACTAGACTGCAAGTTCCTTAAGGGGAACAATAGTATCTTACCTTAAAACCTGAGTTCCAGAGTGTGGTCAGGCATCTTGGGTTTGCATTCTGGCTATTCTAGCTGTGCCGTGTTCTAGTTGTGTGACCTTGGGCAAGTACTTAACCACTCAGTTTTCTTATCTACTTCTCACAGTTATGAAGATTAAATGAAGATGTATATAAAATGCTTAGCAACAGAGTTATGGCATATATAATCACATGCCACATAATGACATTTCAGTCGACAACAGACCTATATGACAGTAGTCCCATAAGATTATAATGGAGCTGAAAAATTCCTGTCGCCTAGTGACATCATAGCTATCATAATGTGGTATGCAATGAGTTACATGTTTGTGAGTAAACAAACCCACTGTACTGCCAGCTGTATAAAAATATAGCACATATAATTATGTAAAGTACATAGTACTTGATAATTATAACAATGACTGTTTTACTAGTTTATGTATATGCTATACTTTTTATCATTATTTTAGAATGTATTCCTGCTTGCTTAAAAAAAAAAAGGTTAACTGTTAAAGAGCCTCAGGCAAGTCCTTCAGGAGGTAGGCATTGTCATCATAGGAAATGACAGCTCTATGTATGTCATTGCCCCTGAAGAACTTCCAGTGGGACAAGATGTGGCGGTTAAAGACAGTGATATTGATGATCCTGACCCTGTGTAGGCCTAGGCTAATGTGTGTCTTAGTTTTTTTTGTTTTGTTTTTGTTTTTTTGAGTTGGAGTCTCACTCCTTCGCCCAGGCTGGAGGGCAGTGGCATGCATGCTCACAGCCACCCCAGCGTCAACCTGCTAGGCTCCAGTGATCCTTCTGCTTCAGCCTTGTAGCTGGAACTACAGGCTCGTGCTACCACACCCAGCTATTTTTTACTTTATTGTAGAGACGAGGTCTTGCCAAGTTGCCCGGGCTGGTCTCATGCCCACGGGCTCAGGCAATTCACTCACCTTGGCCTCCCAAAATGCTGGGGTTCCAGGCTGAGGCACTGAGCCCCGCCATGTCTTAGTTTTTAACAAGAAAGTTTAAAAGGTGAAAAAGGCTAGGCTCAGTGGCTCAGCCTGTAATCCCAGCACTTTGGGAGGCCAAGGTGAGTGGATTGCCTGAACTTGCAGGTTTGAGACCAGCCTGGGCAACTTGGCAAGACCTCATCTCTACAATAAATAAAATAAAATAAAATAAATTGGCCGAGCGTGGTAGGGCACACCTGTAGTTCCAACTACTTGGAAGGCTGAGGCGGAAGGATCGCCGGAGCCCAGCAGGTCGACACTGGGGTGGCTGTAAGCATGCCACTGTCCTCCAGCCTGAGTGACAGAGTGAGACTCTAACTCAAAAAAAAAAAAAAAAAGTTAAAAAATATTTTTTAATAGGAAAAATAGAATAAGGTTATAAAAATATTTTTGTACAGCTGCACAATGTTTTTGTTTTATGTTAAGTATATTGCAAGAGTCAAAAAGGTAATAATATTTTAAATTTATAAAGTAAAAATGCTGTAAGCTAATATTAAATTATTATTGAAGAAAAATCATTCTTATAAATTTAGTGTTGCCTGACTGTGTATCGTACAGTTGTGTACAGTAATGTCCTAGGCCTTCACATTCACTCACCACTCACTCACTCATCCAGAGTAACTTCCAGTTGTGTGGTACCACTTTTCATTTTTACACAGTACTTTTTTTTTTGAGTTGGAGTCTCATTCTGTCTCCCAGGCTGGTGTGCAGTGGCATGCTCATGGCCACCGCAGCCTCCACCTGCTGGGCTCAGGCATACACAGTACTTTTACTGTGCTTTTGTATGTTTAGATTCACATTGTGTTACAGTTGCCTACAATACTCAGTACAGTAACATGTTGTACTGGTTTTTAGCCTAAGAGCAACAAGCCATACCATATAGTCCAGGTGTGTAG